GAATACGCATCGGGGAAACATCAAAAAGAGTTAGTTTATATGCATAATGGTAGCGTTGGAAATGTACCTTATGCTAACGTGATGGTCAGATTTTTATAACAACAAAGTATAAAACTCATATTTGAACCTGAGCTTTGAGCATTAAAGCTGAACTTTTGCGACCTTGTAATTGATTTCTCACTACCGCAATAATTTATAATCCAATAAAGTGATAACTTAGAGACGATGATCTTGCATTCCTTCACCCAAATAGCCCGACCCTCCAAGTCGCCTAAAAATATTTTCTCCCGTCTCTAGACTATAAGTTTATTATTAAGAACATTATAATTTGAAAATAATTCAAGAGTCCCTGCTATATATAGTCGTATGTTAAATTATTTTCTTATCCTCTTCTCCTTCTATATTACTATCTACGTTCTCCACTACCACTTTCTTCTCAGTAACCATTTCTTCTGCCAGTGTATTAACTTTTCTTCTTCCGTAACCTCTTCTGTTATAAACTTTTCTCTTCAGTGAGCCTTAATGCTCTAGTAAAGAGAAAATTCAAAGTCAATTACTGCAAAATATCTTCGTCGTCTCCTAATTCAATTTCTTTCGGGTTTGTGAAGGAAGACTTGACATATAACTGGAGCTGGGAGATAGTGGTAGACATGGCTTTTTTTTAATTGGTCTTCCCACTTTCGCCACTGTAAGCGTGGAATTAATGGGGGATTATTCCTTTCCAGACGTAGAAATCTCGTCGAACAGGTCTGTAACAACCAGTCGTGCTTGTTGTTGGGATCACTCGTTCAACTGCAATTTGTGCTTTTTTGTCTTATTCATAGCATAGCTTTGGGAATGTTTCTTGGACATAAGGAACTAATTTTGGAGGACTGTAACTGTTGTTTTCGTCCCTGCCCTTGTGCGGTTGAGCTCCTCTTCCCGCTCATATTTGCGTCACTTTCTTTTGGGCGTTTGCATGTCGAGTAACTAATCTGAAGCGTTAATAAACGGCGAATTTATCAGCTTGAATTGTTTGTCAAATACAATGTGCAAATCACATTTAGCGTGGGAAATGATTAAAGCTAGTGTATCTTGTACTGGTAGTCTGATCGGTTGTCGATAAAAATAACGCGTTGAAAAAAAATAATTAACCATCCCATCTCATTTAATCACGAGACAAGAATACGACTTATATGTTGTACAGATCTCACAAATTACTTTACGAAAAGGGTAAATGGATACCTCGTTTACCAATATATAAGGGATAAATTATAAGGAGTTTAACGTCTTCATATAATGCTGAGTCAAATATTTGCGCTACCATTATATCTTTCGAACTGATTAAATTGATTATTTGCGTACGATCACCTATAATACGTCATCATTATCTTTCTAAGATTAGGTCGGACTGGCACAGTGCTGTTTATTTCATGTTGTGGATTTTCTTTAAAAATTTAAATATTTTGCAAAATACCCCAAAAACCATACTTATGTTAATGCTTGCTTTTCTTCTCTTTTCTATTACTTGACATTTCTTCAAACTCACCCATAGCTTCACTAAAAGACCTCTTCTTATTGTTCTTGTATGATTCTATCATAATGTCAAATGCATCTAATGCATCGCTCAAGTTGTAAGTTTTTTCTCCACTCCAACCAGTGTCTTCACCACCCCCACTATTATTTTCATCCTCCTTTCCTTCTTCGATATCATTCATTAATTCGTCTTCATCACAGTTATCCAACAACTTCTGCTCATCTTTCTTAATTCTAGCTACCTCGTCTTCATCAACTTTTGACCAGAACTCAGCCGTATTTATTGCCACTCTTGTTGGAAATTGTTGGGTTGACGACTTGACCTTTGCATCAAATAGCTCGCCCAAGCATTCTACGTTCTGGGGAAAGGAGTCGACATCCTCAGCTATGGTCTGGGCATAATTGATAGCATCAATCTCGTTATCAAAGGTTTTCATCAAATTAAACTGAAAGTCTGTTGGACGATCTGAATATGTGTATACTATGTAAAGCAAATTGTTGTTTTCGGTTTTGATCGGTCTTTGTAAACTGGTCTGAATGGGTTCTATGGCAATCCTCCACTTTTGGAATCCTTGCTGTACATCAAACAATTGACCTTGATGATGAACAAACATTGGTATCGTGGGTGGTCCAATATCGCCTACAAAATTAGCATATCCCACCGTCTCATGATAAACGGTGTTTAGATCATAAGATGCTCCATGGAACGTAATCGTAAAGTCTTTGGAATCATCCCAATAACTATATGACAGGTAATACGTTCGGTTTCTCAGTCTTTGGAATACGTGTTTCTTCCAAGCGGATCCGAGGTTGACATTTGTATCTGCAAACTTCTGTAACGTTAGCATACTATCCATAATCTTGTGATTAGTAGGCGGAGTCAGCCTTGCGTGTATCCGTTTCCAGAGCGTCGATGAGTTGTTTATGAAACGATGCATTGGCTTGTACGTAAGAGAAACCGATATTAGGTCTTCGACATCGAGAACGGAGAGAATCTCTTCCGCTACTTGATATCCGACTGGCATAAATGTGTTTTCGGCAAGTTTGCAACGTTCGAGTTTTGAGATTATTGGACCGAGTGAGGATTCGTTCTCGTAGTCGAGCATGGTTATTAGGAGTATTGAAATCAAGCGTTCTACGGTCCATTATATCAATATATAATTGCGCCGTGTTTACTGTTTTAAGGCTTTCTATACAATAAGACTTTGTTTTCATTCAATTGGGTCTAGTTTGCTTGATGCTTGGTTACATTGGTTACATTCCAACTTTGGCATTCAATGTCGCATACGTATTGTTGATAATGCAGGTTTGGAGTGGGTCAATGCAGGAGTAAACATTTCTACAATTTCCGCCGAGTAGTTAGTTTGGGTGAACTTTCGAGGTTCGATGTAGCGCTGCGTTGTGAGTATAGCTGTTTTCTTTTTGGCATAAGAAATAAAGAATAAAATGCTGATTAAAATATGCTGTCGACTTTGAACAAACATTATTAATGTGCGGTTTGTCAAAGGAATGAGGTTACGTCTGTCGTCTGTAATCAATGTTGGCACGCAGATTTCCATTCTTATTTTCATTTTCCAGCAGATGTCCTCTTACAATTCATATTACTTTTAGCACAAATCGCATGGCTTAGCTTATTATGGTAACTCTGTCCAATTGATCAATTAGTGAGCCACATGACTGAACGCGCAGATCGCGACATAATGTCTACCATCCGCGTAGTATTACACTTAACGCTAACTCACCCGCCAAAACAAATATGGAAACCAAAAGGCTAAACGAAGACCAAACAGAGGCCTTAAAAAGAGAATATCAAGCAGTGATGAAACTAAATGAGACATTTACAGCAGTAAACGACAACTTAATTGGAGCGAGAGAAAAGTTGCAGGTAGGTAATTCTCTTTTGCAGGTAGCGTCCTCTTGCATTTAGTTTTGGGAACCGGTGTGGAGGCTTGTGATTTAGTGTCATTAATCCACAATTTATTGTTAAGCAATTTGCAGATACAATGGATCAAACAGATACACTCCTTGATATATGGATAAAAATATTATCGCAGAGTCTCCATACACAACGACTACTGTCAGATCCATCATGGCAAGGTCAGACCACGGTAACTTTCACACTCTATACCTCTTGAAGGGAAAATTCAACTATGTCAATTAGGCCTCTTCTGCGAATACGCCAACTTGGGTGAATGATTCATCGGGTGTTAATTTGCATTATTAAAGATTGCATGTCGCTTTTCTCGCCATTACAAATTCAGGCTTCTGCATCTTATTTAAATCTCGTGAAACATCGTCCTCATCCTTGTTCTATTGTTTCTGTATCCATCACATTCTATGCATTCTTAGGACCATCGTTTGTTCGCCGAGGAACAGGAACGGATAGAACAACAACGTGAACAAGAACGACAACGGCTGGAACGGGAGCGAGAAAGAGAGCGAGAAAGAGAACGAGAAAGGGAACGAGAAAAAGAACGGGAGCGGGAAAGGGAAAAAGAAAAGGAACGCGAGCGGGATGCTTTGGTGAAAAAGAAACCTGGTAAGAAGGGAAAGTTATTATGGTTGAATACAGCCCGAAAGAAGAGGCAGGATCACGGCGATTGTCAAGCTATAAGTATTAACGGATATTTACATTTCTTCATCAGCCGTTAAGAGGAACGTGAACATACGACGAACTCGAAAATGACATGAAAAATGACGACACCTTTGTTCGACTCGCACAATAAGTTTGAATGTATGTTAATATGTACATAGTCTGTTGAGAAATGCGTTGTTTATTGTTCATGAATTTTGAATGTCTTCGCCTGAAATAGACACATATTTCTTGAGGCCATATTAACTATTTAGCTTGCCATCGTCCAAGAATAGAATTCTTCATCTTCGAAAAGCTGGTTCCTCCTCATGACGTGTCTTCTCAGCTGCGAACATCTATATCTCTCTCACTCTTCAAAGTATGTTGCTCACACGTGACCCATATTCATTTATCCCAAACTATCAATCGGCCATTTCGGTATTTGTTCAAAAGAGTAGTCGTCAATTAGACCGCATTGATATCTCTCAATTCCAGCCCATGCAATCATTACTCCATTATCTGTGCAAAGCTCAGGAGGAGGGAAAAACAGTTCAAGATCGTATTCCGTCGCTAGCTTGTTCAACCTATTATAACAATAATCAAAAGAACAAAAAAGAGAAGTAATACATTGGGATGAAGTGAACCCTACTCCTAAGAAAACCCTTCCTCCCCATTATTGTTTTCCTTACCTCTCTCTAACAAACCCATTTCTCGCAACACCTCCACTACAAACCAATTTCCTCACGTTCAATTCTCCCTTGCAACATTCTTCCATGCACAGACGCAGCTTTCCGATCAAATGCTCTACAGCGGCATATTGAAA